TCCTACGCGCGATGACTGCTACCACCAACCCTGATACTGATGCTGGTGCTGATTCCATTCCTACTGCTACTGCATCCGTCTCTCCTTCTTCACTAGTGGTCACGGGGACAGTGTCTCAACAACTGCAAGGCTTCCACGAACATCTGTAAGTGTTGAAGAGAAGAAATTCTTGCACCGTATGTCATCAAATTACGCAACAACCAATTGCATGTAAACGCTTGAGTGATGGCGCTTGAAAGTAGCACAAGCACTTTTTGTTGTTACGGTTGTTGTTGTTTTTATCACTGTTATTGTTGACACACTTTCCGAATCACTTTGCAACTTCACTCATGAAGATTTGTCAATTGTCAAAGCCATTGTTTTCTCTCTATCTCTCTCTCTCTCACTCTCTGTTGCTGTCTGTCATTCACGCTTGTATTAAATAATTTGAAATGAATTTTCGTTGTTGTTCTTGTCGTTGTTCTGTTTCCCGATAACATACCTTGATGACGGAAGCAGGATGAAGTGGATCCGACTTATTTCGTTTATGGCTCCTGTCGACTGTTTACTGTCTGGATGATGAAATTGTAAATGGTGTTTTAAGATATGGTTTGAGCATAGTTATCAATCAATAAATTTTCTATTGGTAATTATTGATAATAATTAGCTTAGATTACATAGGCTGAATAAGAAAATGAGACAAAAGTACAGATAATTCAATTTGATAATTAAGATAGATAATCTTAATTAAGCCAATGATAAAAATAAGGATATTAGTAAACTGAGTGAATATGTAGATTAGGCAGAAGAGTGAGACCAGGTAGAATTCGCAGCGGTAAGTGTCGAGTTTAGGCGTTTACTCATCTTTAGTAGTGCGATGTGTGCGTTTCAAGACGATAGGCCATTTGGACAGAGTTCTTCTGTTGCTACATGATTGTCCAGCCTCTACTTCGAGGTTTCCACGGACTGTGTAGTAGAAACAACTGCTGGTAAATAGTGCTACTCAGGGACGACAAAACTCGAAGTGAAAATAGGTGACAGATTACTCGAGGCATTACTCTCTGTTGAACTATCCTGTGTGGATCACAACGAATAAGCCCACCCATACATACCTTCGTTTGGGTGATTCTGGTCATATGTATGTAATCTTATAGGTAGTAATTAAGTCACTTGTAAGCCAACGGTAACTAAGTGTGATAAGACCTAATGTCTTCAGATGTTCATCATATGGTTAATTTCGAAGAACCGTCACCCACTTTGTTGCCCTTCTCTGAACTTCTTACAAAAGTTTAGCTATCGCCAGATTTACTCGATGGACTATCGTATGCCTGATTAACGATATATCCTCAGAGAATGTCGCTTTAGTTTTTCTTGACCGTTGGGTGTCGAATTACGGAGTACCAGCTACTATTACATCCGACTGGGGCGCTTTATTCCAATCAACTCTGTTTTGTGAACTAATGAAACTCCTTGGAGTGAAACATATCTCCATGGTAGCTTATCATCCGGCAGCGAATGTTCTTGTGGAAAGATTCCATAGACAACTGAGAAGCTCCCTGATGGCACAGAACGATAAAGCTAAGTGGAGTGAATACTTACCCTTGATTTTACTCGGTATCCGATCTACTATCAAGGAAGATTGAGGATGTACACCAGCTCAAATCGTTAACTGTACCAACGTCACTTTGCCTGGACAGTTATTTCCCTCAGTCGATTCGACAGAGGTAAATATTGCTGACATTACCAGCTGTCAGCTTTTCCTATACAGTCCTTCAATCCTACAATGTAGTATATTCTAAACTTGCGAGGAGCATATCTGCAAACAGAGGCCCTAACTTCCCTCCCATCGGTACACCATCTGTCTCAACATACACTTGCTTATTGAACTTAAACTCTACCCATTGATTACAGTAACTTCCTCAAACAATGCTTAGTCAAAGGAGACTGGTTAGCTACATCACAAGTAAAGTCAATCGTTCCCTTGACGAAGGTATGTGTGAAAAGTGAATCAGTATGAAATGACACAAAGTGTAGGGGACTTAATAGCGACCTCGGTAACCAAACAAATATTAGAATAGAAATCGAATTTCATGAAATAATAGTGTAAGAGTATATTATAAAAATAAATACAGATAACCGGTTATATAAATTAATTATTTAATAAGACAGATTAGGACAAGTGAGTATCCGCTCATAGTCTATCTACTAGGTTGTGCTCGCAGTCATACACCCTACGTAGCCAAGTGGTTTGCTACATCGTCGCTGTGAAAATAAATATCCTTCATCTTTACTGATTCCAGAGTCTTACATTATCAAAGTTATCACTAAGGTCTGCAAATAATGGAATCTAGAACTCACATACATTCGCTAACATAAGTTAACATGTTTGCATCGATCGTGTTGAGTCAGAAGAGAGAAGGCGATTTCATCCTACATATTATGCCATTTATGCAGAGTATATTATTTGCTTCTCACATTAATATATCTGTATTGAAGGCTTCGTTAACACAATAATTAGCAGCCAGTATATGAACAAATAAGTGAGGTTACAAAAGAAGTAAAGCGACCAGGTAGTGTGAAGGCACCAATGACCCTGACTGGCTGTCGTTTGTTGCATCGCAGAAACTGCTGTGTATTATATATCAAAAAGCCGTTTATTTACCAGAAAAATTAACATAATGATTATGAAGCATATTAAAGAGGATATTTTACCCTGACGTAACTAAGAAATACTTCCCAATTACAATGGAGGATGTCAGTTTCCAAGTTTCATAAGTATCATAATGGTTTCACTTATATGAACAACGAAACACCCTCCTCCCATTTGTTTATTTACAAGAAAAATACAGATAATAATAATGATAATGATAGTGAAACACCCTCACCCTAACGTGCTACCAACCCATAGTTCAAACACCGCTTGAAAACGATATCAGAATGAACATCAGTTCATGCACATAGTCCATAATGGTGCTGTAACAACGGCAGGTTCCATAATCTAGCAAACAGTTTACGCTCGCACAGCATCTTCACTATTCTTTATGTTGATTGAAGTGAAGGTATTCTGCTTTATATTCACTCATAGTGGAGTGAATATCAATAACGCCAACAGCTAGAGAATAAATTCAGGCAAGCAAGAAACTGTTTAGCCAGAAGGCGAAAGACAAGCTGTCGCATTGGGCGACTTCAGCGTGCATACACTAGTTTACTTGCTCTTGCGGAAGGTTATCGACAGCGTTGACCATAAAGTAATTTTGAAACTGCTTAAAAACTAAGGAGTACGCCGAACCTTAATCAACCTCATTCAACTACTATATAATGCTGCCAAATGATACGGAACGCAAAGCCCAGTGAAGGAGTAAGACAAAGATGCCAACTACCACTAATGATACACCTAATTATGCTGGACTGGATACTTCGGCCAACTGTATGGAACAAGAAAGAGACTGTAAGATGTAGACCTCGTGAGCGATTCATCTTTAATATCACATATACTCGAAGACCAACAGGTTAGCAGAAGAAGCATAAAGTATAGGACATCAAGTGAACGTAGAGGAGACAGAGATGATTAAGGTACCTAAACAACAACAACAAGTACAACAACAAAACGCACCAAAAGCTATCAACGGACAAAATTTAAGGGAAAATCACTTCTTCTATTTATCTGGACAACATCGTTTCAACTACCGACAGCATAGATTAACATGTCAAAAGCCGGGAGAGCCACAGTAAGAGAGACCTTCATCAATATGGAATCAGAGTGTAAATCTCCTGCATTTAGCATAAAGAACATATCACTCAACAAATATGCAGAAGGAAATGCATCGAAAGCACGCTGAGTGGAACCAAATGGGAACCGACGACTTGACAAGCATTTGTATGGCCAAATAAAAATAATTACAAAGAACAGGGTGGAATGCGGATGTGCCGCTGAAAGCGTCTATTCCACTCAGATCTAAAGGGAATATTAATGATAATCCTGCCGTGTCTGAGTAGTCCCATCTGGTACCAACCTGGACAACTCCTGTTCATCGATCCACGTTTCCATCGATCTTCATTTATGACATTACCATTTGACTCTACCATAACATGCAAGTATGAAAATGTATCAACAACATCATCCCAGTGTTGAAATTCCGGAAGAGGTGAGCATACAATTAAAGCTGATTCACCCGATGTACTGACAGTGATTCATGTTACTTGTAGTGCAAAAGCTTATCACAAATGAATCAATGACGGTTGGGTATCAAAAGTAAGAGAAAGCAAATGGTTTGGTTGAAGATATTCAGGAGTATTTAGGATTTGGCTAAGATATGTGAAACTTTCAAGGGCTTATGAGCTGCAATCACGCACATTTGTTATTGTCACCAATCTTAGGTGTGTAGAGCTGTAGAGTTGTTCTGCTAATTGAAGTATCGATAAAATTTGCCTTTGAATATGAAGACGGGAAATACTAGTGTAACAACAGAAGACAAGCGAGACAGGCAACAGATCGTTTATTTAGGAAATCAACACATATTTATATATTTTCATGTACATTATTATAGATTATTGTAAGCAAACAAACACAGTCTTCTGATTGGTGGTTTCTCGCTGAACCTTAATCCTTCATCTCTTTGTGGCCGTTTCTTGAATGTCAGATTATCTATCTGCAAATTGTATCCGCCTACGCAAAGTCTGCTGTGATTGGTTGTTGGGTCAGTCTTTGGTCTTAGTTTCTTCATGACCAATACTGAGGACGTACACATTGACGTAAATTACTCTATCTACCAATTTTGGCTAGCAACCAGCCCTCACCATACTAGAACCATATGGAAATTGAAAATGTTCACATCGCGCATAAAATACATATTTATTTATTATATTCTAAATATCAATTCAAGCAGAGATGAAGTTTATAAAAGTAATTAAAATGAATTACACTGGGAGTTTTACATGTTTAATATTAATAAACCAATATTTACATAGAAAGGTCATGTGTGTGTGTTTGTTAAGTATAACTGCACTTTTGAATAATACTACTAATGAACAGTATCGCTCTTGTCGATTGACGAATCCTCTTGATCATTGTCACTGAAGTCTTCAATTGGTGTGTCAATCGAAGGAAGAATATCAATCATCTATTTCGAAATATTTTAAAAAAAATCAACATAAAATGGAGTGAAATTAATCTTTGGTTAATGGTGTTAATTTAATTCAACACTTCTGTTACATCAAACAAACAGCAAAAAAGAACCAGAATGTATCAATCAGTCAATTATCTTGAGTAATGTGAGAAAAAGTAGGGCTATCAGAAACTTTTCCAATCAAAACAGTCAAAAAATGATACTTTAATTGCAGTCGAAGAAGTGTTATTTATAATCATGTCAATGATTTCAATTTCATGATACTTTTCTGATTGCAGTTTATTTGTTTTTTGTTTTTTGTTGAGGTTTGTTCTCTTGTTTGGATTCATTTAGGCATGGAATACAGAATTATTGATTCATGATTTTTTTCTAGTTAAAATGTCTCATTGAAGACGTCAAAAGACTGATGATTACTGAACAAAGAATATTCTCTTCGACAACTCCTTCAACAGGTTTTACAGTGTTACGTCGACAATAATTAAAGAATTACTGTTATTAACAATAATATTGGATCAGTAATGTCGATAGATAACAGTTTAAAAGAATGTGTAAGTGATAATTTGCTCCAATATAACACTAAAATGATGAGTGCCAACTAGCACGAAACCAAGTTCCAAGGCTTCCCGCCGATTGCCTCCAACCATCTAACATTAGAAATTCAGAGTTCACCGTGATGGAGAGTCACCTGGCATGGTGGCCACATTGCAAAATTGACTGATAGAATTCAGTCTGCACAAAAAACACATGACACTAGTCCAATCAAAGTATCCGAGACATTCCTGAAGGAGGTCAATCGCGAGCCCGAATAACTCAGTGGTAACGTCTCTGACTGCAGTACTGGGTGACACGGGTTCGAATCTCAGAAGGTTGCAGATTCGCCTTGCTGACGAGGGCCAACTAGCACGAAATTTAGGTCCAAGGCCTCCTGTCGATTGCTTCCAAGTAGCCATAGTAACTGGACCGTTTTTTCTTCTGAACGCGAAATTCTGGTTATATTAGGCAAATTGCAATGGCCTCTGCTGTTTGAAGTATTGGGTACCTACCTACCTAGAGGCTTTTAGCAATCTGTTTGTTACCTGATAGATGGTAGAAAAAGATTCTTCAATGCTATTTACCTGAATGAAGTGTTTAATCCTGATAGGCTAATACCAAACTGTTGGTGGTTTTTACTGCACCTTTACTTAGTCGCAGAACTGTTAGTTGTTCCCGTGCACGGAAAGCCGAGTTCCTAGCCAATGTAACTGTCTCCACAGGAGCAGTTGAATTGGTATTCAGTTTAGTGTTACAGCGATGCATATTATCACTAACAGATATGACTTTTGAAATATTGATTTTGAAGAGTTGATGTTATTTAATACAATAATGTTGTTAATATGTGAACAATTCTTTAATTATTATGAGGGCGTATAACTGTAGAACTTAACGAAGTTATCAAAAAAAAGATTTTCTTTGCTGACCAATCAGCCTTTTAAATTATATTTGCAAGATTATATCCGGCTATCGACCAAAGGGCGTGTGTACTGCTCAGCAGTCCGCTCCGTCCCCCTTTATGGCTGTGAGTGAGACCTGGCCACTGAGAGTGGAAGACATGAAAAGTCTGGCTAGCTATCTTTGATCATAGGTGCCTGTGTGAAGTGGTATAATAGGGTGAGCAATATTGAGGTTAGGCGTGGAGTGCTAGGTGGCTGGGAGGGGAAATGAATAGACGAATTTGTGAAGCAGCTACATCGATTGAGATGGTTAGGACATGTGTTACGCATGCCTGCCTAGTCATCGCCTTCCTCGACTGGCGATGTTAGCTAACATACGATCAGGCTGGAAAACACCTAGCGGCGGTCAAACTAAAACATGGCACCAGTCAATGAAATCCACAGCAGTTAGTTTAGGCCGACCACGTAGGTGTAGACTTCCTGACTGGTTGGGGTCCTCGGGACGGTAGAAACCAATGAAGGCTGGAGACAATTAGTGATATGGCTCAAAATCGTTCTCAATGACTGGTGCAGATGCATCCACTCCTTGTAACTTACAATATCCAATAAAACTATATTGTTCCTCCATATTACTATTCTTTTTGCCTCGTATCTCTGTTTACTATCTCTGTTTTGCATTTCTTCTACTTTCTTCTCTTGGTTGGTGTGCTACATGGAGTGAGTGTGGCGACTCGAACTGCTGCACATCGGTGCAAAGTTCTACGTTGAAACCAGTCAGTTAGTCAGTCATATCCCAAGGTTTACTTTATCGTCTTTTGCATGAAACGTTGTCATTCTTCTTTTTCTTTACCAATAAATTACTAACTAACTATTCACTATGCGAATAAATAGAAGGTTTAGATTTACAAAAATATTGAATAACTGATTAAGTTTCTATGTGGATATTTGCATCTCTAACAGAAGAATTTGAAGACATACTACAAATAAGATTAAAATGGTTTACTTGCTTCCTTTTTCAGCTTTTAAAAAGAATCAAATACTCACACTCACCCCCCCAACTCAATTTGTCCATGGTTTACAAACTTTTGAGAAGATATCGTTATCCAACGAAGGAAAACACTTTTTATTTTGGTGTCGTTGTATTCACTGTGCTGGGATGACTTAGCTGTGAAGCTTTGATTGCCTTTCGCTTTAAATTGAAGTAGGCAGTGAGGATTTTGTCTAATAAGACAATGAAAGCTTTGCAGCTAAACCATCCAGCTTAGAGAGCACAGCTACACCAAGATTACCAACCTCAGCTACAAATCTCCATTATACCCTTTTATTTACATCAATATAAGTAAACTATTACTCCCTTTTGAAAGAAACAGTAGGCAACTATACTACTAATAAGCTTTGCATTCATAATCTAAGTTAACAAACATGTTCTCTGCTTTACCAGACTGATGTTATTTCAGTGTGGTCAAGATGAAGTGAAGTTGAAATGAAGATCTGAGATTTGTAAATATTCATACAGTCACATTATTCAATACATTCATACAACAATGGGGTCATAACTGGTTTATCTATTCACCTACTCATTTTATATACAATTACATGGAGTGAGTCAATATGCAGTAATCTAAATCTATTGATGATTCCCAAATAAATGACAATGATTAAGTGAATGTTTGTCAATATAAGCAGCGTGTATATGGCTGAGTTCGCTTGAAGATTACAAAACCTAAGTACACTGTGTGTTTCAGATATATACACACATACACACATACTTGTTGTTTGATTTTCGATCATCCTAATAATACAAGGTTCATCTACTGTATATGCGTCAGTGGTTCAGCCGCAGAACTCTAGCCAACCACGCATGTGATGCGACGTCCGATCCTCGGCCGACGCACTGCCAAACCTCGCTAAGCCGATAGTAAAGCCGGTAAAGGGGGAAGGTTGGGCGTAAGGCTAGCAACCCCCTCCCGTGAAAAAAATAAAACCACTGCTAATGAAACTTCAAACCTCTAGCTTGAAGCCCTATGTTCCACTCGGAAGGTAAAAGAAATAAAATTAATTAATCTACTGTACTACAATTCAGGAAGACGACTTCTAAATTCTACTGGAAAGAAAAATAGCAAACTAGGTGGTCATGCAAATGATTTGAACTGGCGAACTTAAGAATACTCAATCGATTTTTTTTATCCACGTAGGTAAACAACAATCCCACTGCCAACCGTGTTTTAATTAGGCTTTGAGCACAGGAGGTTTCGTCTGATATCTATTAGCAGCACTAGTGACGTTTAACAGTTCAGTCATCCATAATTCAAGTATTGGTCTGTAGGGATTCGATTGATTGGTTACAGGATTTCATCATGAGTTGAAATCGGTCGGTTAGAGAACCATCTGAAAACCTAGGATTACTGGACAGCTGTTTCGACATAGTTTGAGGCTCTTCATCAGTTCGCACTCACCGCCAGAGTTCGAACCCTGAAACTTTTGGCTTGATGGTCTAAAAACTCGCCTTGTAACCAGAAGGTCCTGGGTTCGAACCCTGGCAGTGGGTGCGTACTGATGAAGGGTCCCAAACTAGGACGAGACAGCTGTCCGGTACTCCCAGGTTTTCCAATGGTTCTCATGATGAAATCCTGTAACCAGTTCAGTCATCATTAACTACATTAGCTGTAAAGTCAGATCAATTACCATATCCTTAGTGAATCACAACACACAGCACGGATAAATGATCAACTTCTGAGGAAGCTTTATCTTAGCAAGCTAATATTATTGTAAGCAAGTCTTTTATTCCTTTTATGGTGTATAGGCAGATATACGAAAATAATAATGTTAATCACAAGAATTATTTGAATAGATATAGAATACGAGAATGAGGAGTAAACACATGTGAATATTTGTCACTGAATTGAATTTTCACCACAGTATATTGATTGAAATGCCTCAGAAAGACTTTAAAAAAAGGTGGTGTTTTCAACAACGAAGCATTTAAAAAGGCTGTAATCTCATGTGCTGTCCGTCCATCTGACAATTTAACAACTGACACAACTCAAATGATGCATACACACACACACATTCAAGAATATGAACTAATCAAGGTTTTTCCAGCAGTATAAATTGATTGGTATTGTATATATACCGTATGTATATACCGCTTGTCAATGTCATACATCTTCACATGAATTTCGAATCAACAGAGTCCTAATTAATTTAATTTAGCCAAGGTGTTTATTCACAGTTGAATATAGGAATTACACAATTCATCAGAAGTAAGCATACACTGCGTTCAAGAGAATGTAGTTTACTCAGAAGGCGAATAGAAAAGGTGAGCTAGATAAACAGTTTCAAAGTACTGAGAGAACTTTTTAAAAAAATATGAAGTTCTACAAAAAGGAATCTTAACTAAATAACTAACTAACCCACTAACCTGTTCAGGTCGAATCCAACACAAAAACTGAAGAAAAAGCCAATGTAATAGGGCTATGAAAAAAGTCAGTTTCCCTGTGAATGGTCCAAGTTGATATAACCTTTATTATTAGGAAAAAAAATACAAAACAACAACAACAGACAAATCAGAATATTGAAGACTACGCATACGTACAATATATCATCTGGTTGATACCATAAAAAGGTAATCAAGAAACTAAGCATAAATGCATAAAACTGCTGTATACTACTGATTGACTGAGATGAGTAGTTGAATAACACTCAGATTAACCAGTAGTGCCTGCTAACCAGTTCGAAGAGACATTAAATACCGAACGGTCGTTCCACCCGTTTGAGGTCGAGTTCGACTGCTGTTTAAGTGATTTGAGTAGCTGGATGGAACTTATCCCTACTACTATTAGTATATAATATCATGCATTGACGCTTGCTTTCTCGATTAGCACTTATGCTATCAAGCAGATTATGTAATGTGATCTAGATGATTTTGGTTTTCAAGTGGAAATGTGTTGAAATTCCACTTCGAAATGTGTAATTTGCAAATGACGAATTTCATTCCATACATAACAGGTTCGTCTAAGTAGCTAGCCAGAATTCGGGTGGTTTGAACTGTGATTCAGATCTCTGAGCTGAGTCAAACTCCGGTATACGGCTGATGAGTGGAACGCATGTCCGGTGCTTAGATAACTTCAGTCTCGTTAGCAAGGATTACTGGTTTATGAGTGGTGTCTAAAACTACTCATGTCCATCAACCAGACTGTTTTTACATTCCATCTCTGATCGGTAATATAATAATTATTATTATTAATAATCCCTTGGGTTCCGATTGGAACATAGGGCTTCAACAATACATCTCCACTTTCTTCTATTTTCTGCCGCCCTCTTCAGCTGGGTCCACGACTGCCCATAATCTCTCATCTCCTCTTCACACGATCTCCTCCATTTCACCCTCACACCGATGACCCACTCATCGCTTCTAATTTCGATTCCACTCAAGCGTTGGCCTGGCGCGCGATATCATTCGACGGTCTTCTCAATGTATGCCCGATCCATCCATCTCCATTTTCTCTTACATATTTGTTGAGCAATCAGCCCTTCTTGGATGGTTTGTTCCCAGCCAACCAGTGTTTCTTGTTAGTAATTCTTTCTCGCCTGCCATCTGATCTTCAGTATGGAGCCAGTGAAGTGGGCAGCTGTTGATAAAAGTCTGAAGTGACCTGTTGGAAATCCTTTTCGTGACACATGCAGTGCAAGTCTCTGACCCGTGTAGAAGGACTGACTTGACATTGGTGTTGATTGATCAAATGGACAATATTCACATGGATGACTTATTTTTATAATTTTGCTAATCCAAATAGAAAAATTTCTAAACCTTTTCAGAGCGTTTATTCATTCAATTCGATGAAAAATGGTTTCTCGTATTCGCTATGAAAAAACACACAACAGAATTCATTGAAAGCCACAGTTCTATATTTGAGTCAGGTACTAGTATATACAGTGTGTGAGATGAACAGCAAAAGGATTTCTACTTATCCTTAGGAATTTATTTAAACTGATGATGAAAACTTTTTGACAGAACTATTCCAATCAACATGAACAAAGAAATCAAAGGAATTCAAGAAGGATGAAAAAGTATTGACACACTTTGATGCCAATCGATGCAATTAACTATTATTATTATTGTTCCCTTGGGTTCCTAGTGGAACATAGGGCTTCAACTGCACGTCTCCACTTGCTTCTATCTTCTGTTGTACTTTTCACCTGCATCCATGTTAGTCCATACTGTTTCAACTCTTCTTCACACGATCTCCTCTGTCAACCTTGAACGTCCCAATCGTCGCTTCCATTTCGGGTTGATGAATGTGTTTCTCGCCTTCCCGATTCTCGATTTGACATCCTCGTCCGCTCCTCCTGTAGTTGAGACAATGCTCCCTAGATAAATGAATGAAGTAACCTCTTTCAAATCCCTCCCGTTGATGGTGATTGACGGTGGATGTTGCTGCTGTTGTTTTTGTTGTTGTTGGTTGGTTATTTTCATAACCTCCGTATTGTCTATGTTCACCTGGAGTCCTGTCTTTGCAGCTACTTTGACCAGTTTGTTGGTTTCCGCTTGTAAGTCTTTGATTTTGTGTGACATCAAAACATAAATCATCCGCAATTAACTGTGATAATAATTATTATTAATACGAATAATATTAATAATATAAAGCATTACTTATTTTTACCTGGTTATTCTCTTCCGTAATGATACAGTTGGTCTGGACATAGCAGCAGCATAGACTTTTTCTGTACGTTTAGCAACTTTAGGCCAGGAATATGTACCACGTATCCATTTGTGCATATGCCAACAATGATCAGTAATTGAATTACACTGGTATTCAGTACCATCGATATATTTCAGCGCATTCGTTGCTAGTGAAAATCGACATAAAGGATTGGGAGGTCTACAGACTTCTGACTTTTATTTGATTAATATATGAAAATAAAAACAAATAAAGTGTATGGCGTTAATTTATGTACCACAAAATTACATCTTTTGATAAAAAAAGAGCTATAAAAGTAGAAATTCATCATCACTTCATCCGGGTTCGATTCCTGGCTGGTGCACACTATTCCTAAACGTCACCAAGCTGTTAGTAAGCACAGAAAGGAGGGAAGATCAGGCGTGAGGCGCGTGGCAACCCCGACCAGTAAAAACAGCACAAGCGCTACTGGAACTTCAAAATTGTAAAGTTTGAAGCCCTATATGCTGCACTCAGAACGCAAAGGAATGAAAGAACCCAGTGCACTTTTTCAGTTGATATAGAATCATTTATTGAATTGCCTTACTGAAATAATTGGATGTCACTATTATCATATCATAATAAGTATATCAATTGAAAGCTTCCATTTTACATATAGTGTGGTGTGTACTACTGAAAAGATTTATCAGAGTAATATATGGACGCAGATTCATAGGGAATGGCCAAAATTGAAAACAACATTTCAAGTCAGTGGCCACAGGAGTAGAAGTGTTTATTCCTCAAATCTGGATTTAGTTTACGTTGTGGTCAGCAAATAATCTCAAGGTTTAACCTTCAGAAAATCAATAAACAATCCGAAAAGTTTATTGTCATGGACAACTTTCGACTCAATATTCAATGTAAAACTCAATCCAAATTTGAGGAATAAACACTTCTACTTCTACGGCCACCGACCTAAAATGTTGTTTTCAATTTTAGCTACCCTCATATCAATCTGCGTCCATATACTACTGATAGATTTTTTTCAGTATCACACGCCGCAATAGCACTACAGATCCTTATTGTATGATTTACAAATGGCAGTTGAATTTCAGAATATTCAACATAAGAAATGAACTGACTGCTGATTACTTCTCTATCAAATCATCACTCAATACACTCTAACAGCGATAATATAACGGGGCAATGAGAATATTTTGAAAATCTCTACTATCATTAGCAAAATAAAGGGACAAAGAGATGTACAACTACAAAATCAAAATCTAACTGTTTTAATGCAAGTGTGCATGCACGTTAAGTCTGTCTGTTTTCAACATAGAACTTTGCACAGATGTGCAGTAGTTCAAGTCGCCACACTCACTCCATGTAGCACACCAACCATGAGAAGAAAGTAGAAATGCAAAATACAGACAGTAAACAAGGATATGAGACAAAAGTAATAGTAATAACGGAGATCAATATAGTTTTATTGGATACTGTAAGTCACAAGCAGTAGATGCATCTGCACCAGCCATTGAGAACGATTTTCAGCCATATCACCGATCGTCTCCAGCCTTCAATGGTATTTACCTTCCCGAGGAACCCAACCAGAGAAGCAGTCTACGCTTTCCTTCATGACTGGCTTAAACTAACTGTTGTGGATTTCATTGACTGATGAAGCTATGTGTTGGTTTGACCACCACTAGCTGGCTCTTGTCCAGCCTGACCCAATGTCAGCTAACAGTGCCCTTTGAGGAAAGCGCGTAAATCATGCCTAAAAAGGCTATGGAGTAAAACGAGTATTCTGTTACACAGTTTGACATTCCTAATAGAATTACTGGAACCATTTCTAATGATTAAATCCCATCTTTCATCTCACATATGCCTATTTTAAATTGTATTACATGCTAAAATGTAAAGTAAGAAGAAGTTAATATGTAAAAATGTTAGATCATTAGTGGAGATGTGGCTAGTTTCCACAAACGCCTAACTTTTAATCGAAACCTGCATTCAAACTTTGTTGCACCTACTACATTTTAAATAATCGCGTAACTTGTACAACAACAATGTATTCTATAAGTATAAGACAGTATATATAAGCCTCATGAGATACTTGGTATACATGAGGTGGGTTTATCACCATAGAAGTTCAATGAAAGCAAGATTTAAATATTTCTCATTATTGCTAACTGACTGACATAGTTTTCAATGTAGAATTTCGTACACAGAAATGTCTCAGTTCAGGTTGCTACACTCCATACAGCACACAAAATAAACTACAAAATACACTGAAACAATCATCATCGATTCTTTTGGCAAACTGCATGGTAACACTTTTATTTCTGAATAGTTCATCACATTGTAACTCACCTTATCTGAGGTTAAGTGATCACAAGACTCATTCATATCATTTGTTAACTTTGAATTTTTGCGTAGTTGACGAACTTGAATGATTGAATCCGCGACAACGGAGGCTAGCTCAGAAGCTTTCGCTGGAGCAAGTCGAATGAAGTGTTCTGGTAAAACTTCAGGGAGTCCACCTACTGCCGTACTGATAACCATAAGACTGAAGAAAGAAGAAACAAAAATGTAGTGAAAAATAAGGTCTTCAATGGCACTGATGACTTGAAAAAATAGATCTAACGTCATTCAGTGATTCACTTTGGAGAACACAGAAGTGCATCACTTCAAGTGGAAACAGTTCAAAAATAGCAGAAGGAGAAAATGTACAGATGTGAATACTAAAATAAACGAAAACGCGTATAGCAGTGAAGAGAAAAGGAGTGAGAGTGACAGCAGATAAGCAATCCCAGTGAAAATGTTCCAAATACCAAGGCGGTTAAAACAGTTTACTAGTCAGGAGAAAAGATCCAAAGAAGCTAAATAAAATGTTTATGGCATTCTATACAACAGCATCGTGAACAATGATGAAGTACACTAATAATTTTATTTGAATACAATAAAATTCACTCATCTGATCGTCAATGACTAATTATCCATTAGACCAAGTGTGGCGAGTGCTACTGATAAGATTTATCAGTAGTATATAAAGAGACGTCCATCGGCATAAAAACATCAAATAGCAGGGAGATACATTTGATGTCAGAGAAGGCAAATGATACAGAGTTGTGGAGATACATGGAAGAAGTGAAAGGAACACAAAGAAACACAACATAAAGTCCAGAAGTACCACAACACGAAGATCTGTGCAAATGGTGCGTTGAAGATAAGGTATACATAATTTGGCTATGTAGAGATACCAGAATGCCGACTCTTATTCATGTATATATACATGGGCTTAGCAGCTTAACTATGCAACGGATTTATAAGCTTCCTATAACTATACATCTGAACAATCTATTTAATTCCTAGAGAAACATAGGGCTTCAGTCGTGTGTCTCCATTGCGTTCGGTTCTCTGCTAGTGTCTTCACCTGGCTCCATGTCTGCTCACACGTTTTCATCTCCTATTCACATGACCTCCTCCAAGTCACCCTTGCACTGACGACAAACTCGCCGCTTCCCTTTCGGGTTCCACTCAAGGGCTTGTCTAGTGATGTCACTTGGTGGTTTCCTCAGAGTATGGCCAATCCATCTCCATATCTTCCTGCCTATTTCTTTCACAATTGGTTCCTGTTATGATGCTGGATCCTTTGTCACGAGGTCACTGCCTAACTACTGACCAGTGCCCACTTAACTGGTAAAACAGAACCTGCGAGAATCAGCGGTAAAACCAGGTTCATTTATTATGACAAAAGTGACTGTATTTATACAGAAAATAAGGTAGACTGGAAATCAACCAATCCGGTTGAGATTTGGAATTGTGCAAGCGTCCAATCAGAAGCAGGAAAAATTGCATGTCAACGACTTGTTAATAACGCGATAATAACTTGACTGAGAGATGATAATGACCTGATAATTGCATGTGTTTTGCCTCTTCCTAACACCTCCCCTTTTAAGATTGGGCTACCGGTAGCTTTTGTATCGCGGAATCACTTGTAGGTACTTTGGGGGTCTTGGTTGTCGTTGTGATCTCCTCGGCTGCTGGGACACTTTGCCTTTGTTTCGACTATTTTGGCCATGTGACGTTTTCGGATCCGTCGTATCTATCAATAGCTCAAATTGTACGTCGGCGGACTTGGAATCGTTCAACTGTTTACCAACTAGTCTATTTCTTATTTGATTGGCATGCCTGACCCAAATAAGGTCTCCAACCTTGACCTTGTAAATGACTTGGTCTTTTCTTCCAACGATCACTCCAGAAACCCATGGGCGATCTCTCCGTATGTAATCACGAACCAGTACCGACTGACCAACCATGAAGCTTCTTTGCTTGGTGCCATGACGTCTATTGAACTGAAATTCACTATTTCGACCACATTTGCTCCGTCTTGATGGGATCGGGATAATTGTATCCAAAGTAGTACGTAATCTTCTTCCAAACATAACTTCTGCGGGAGATGTTTGATTTGGGCATGATGGGTTCGTTGTGGTTCGATAAATGAAGAGGAAATTGTGCAATACATCTTCTATCGATCCCTCCCCGTTTGACTTCTGAAGTGCGCGCTTGAGTGTATCAACAAAACGCTCTGCTTGTCCATTTGACTGAGGATGGTAAGGCGGGCTACGAATATGCTGAACACCTAGCCGCTCACAAAACTGTTTGAATTGTTCAGCTGTAAACTGAGGTCCGTTATCGGAAACGATGATCTCTGGAACACCAAATCTGCTGAAAAGCTGAACCAACTTATTTAATGTTATCGTCACTGTGGTATTTTGCATAATGAAAACCTCCGGCCACTTGGAATACGCGTCGATTACCACGAGAAACTGTTTGCCATTGATTGGGCCGGCAAAATCTATGTGGATTCTTGACCACGGTTTTCCTGGGTTGGGCCACGGCTGTAGGTCTGTCTTGACAGACATTTTCAAAGCCTGAGCACCGCGAGAACATGAGCGAACCATCACTTCTAATTCACGATCGATATTTGGCCAGTAGACGTAACAGCGTGCCAACGATTTCATACGGCCAATACCAGGATGCGTAAAATGTAGTTGACTCATGACATTTTGTTGGAGACTTCGAGGCACGACCACACGTTCGCCAAACATAATGCAGTCATTGACCAGGGATAAGGAATGTCGTCGTTGATAGGACTGTTTTAAATCTGGACAATCAATACGCGAGGGCCAGCCACAACGCAGGTACTGTTGAACTGACCGTAATATCGGATCACGCTGCGTCTCTCGTTGAACCATGTCGGCTGAGACAGGTAAAGTGTTTATTGCCGTCATCAATACGTGGCACACGTCTTCATCGACAGAAACGCCGGCGATCACAGCATCCTCCTTTGCGGGCTTGTTATAGCTGAGTAAACGCGAGAGGCCATCTGCATTCCTGAAATCTTTTGTAGATTTGTACTTGATCTGAAAGTCGTATCCTAGTAGCATAGTCGCCCATCGTTGGAGTCGATTGGCTGTATAAACTGGAATACCTTTCTTGGAGCCAAAAATCGATAATAGTGGTTTGTGATCAGTAAAAGTGTGAACTTTCGGCCAAGCAGCATTTTGTGGAACTTTTGAATTCCAAACACGAGCGCTAATCCTTCCTTTTCGACCTGACTGTAATTCTGGTCTACCTTTATCAAGGTTCGCGATGCATATGCTATCGGCTTTTCAACACCGTCTGGAAACACATGTGAAATGACAGCGCCAATACCATAGTTGGACGCATCTGCAGCTAATGTTATATCCAGCTTTGGATTGTAATGTGTTAACAGCAGGTCAGACTGGAGTAATTTCTTGACCTTGATGAAAGCTTGTTGGCATTCTTCTGATCAGTTCCATTTAGCATTCTTCATGAGCAACTGATTCATTGGGCCCTGAAATGATGTAAATCTGGCAGGAACGCACTATAGTAACTGATCATCCCCAGGAAGGACTGCAACGTACTGAGATTATGAGGGGCAGGCATCTGTTGAATTGCTGACACACTGGAGGGGTCGGGTTTGCGACCATCTTTGTCAAAAATGAATCCCAGGTACTTCACTGAATTCATGAAAAAATAGCAATTATCCGGACGTAAATGGAAACCGGAATCACTGAGTATTGTCAGGACTTTATCCAACCGATTGAAGAGTTCAAATTGAGTTTCTCCTGTGACTATGATATCATCGAGGTAAACGGCCACTCGAATTTTCGATCACTCGCATTCACGATTCACCTTACCAGCATTGGTGAGAATATCATCTCCTGGATCTTTGCATATCTTGAAACAATTGTAACGGATACTGAAGAGAGATAACTGTTCACCGAAAATATTGGTTAACGTTTGAACGGTTTCTTCAAAGTTGAGTTCTCTGGAGTTCTTTGGTAGAATATGATTGACATATTTGTTATGTTCGGCTGGACCAAGTTTCCGAAGGAGTAGTCTCACTTTGGCCGAATCATCTAGGTGAGCGCATTCAACTCGGAACAGATCTCCATAACGTCGAAACCAAGCTTCAAACGTCACGCCTGTTGAAGGTTCGAAATTGAACTCTACAACTGAACTCCTAATAGACTCGGTTGTCTCTGAGTTGGAACTGCCGAGATTTTGAATTGAAAACTGCTTAGTAGGTTTTTCAATCAAGCTGAGTTGGTAAGCTTCAAACTGTTGCTGTTGTTGATGAAGGAGCAGTTGCATTTGTTCAAATGAAATTGTCATTTGGAAGACAGTCTGGATGTACACTGGATGATCTGGGTTTTATTTGACTGTATTGAACTGCAATGGATTCGAAACCCCGTCGCCAATTGTTATGATGCTGGAACTTTTGTCACGAGGTCACTGCCTAACTACTGACCAGTGCCCACTGAACTGGTAAAGCAGAACCCGCGAGAATCAGAGGTAAAACCCGGTTCATTTATTATGACAAAAGTGACTGTATTTATACAGAAAATAAGGTAGACTGGAAATCAACCAATCTGGCTGAGACTTTGAGTTGTGCAAGCGTCCAATCAGAAGCAGGAAAAATTGCATGTCAACGACTTGTTAATAACGCGATAATAACTTGACTGAGAGATGATAATGACCTGATAATTGCATGTTTTGACTCTTCCTAACAACCACATTCCCCAAGTTTAACACGCATAGTAACAATAGTTATAACTGATTTCATCTAATCCCGAATGCGTAAGATTTTCACAGACATTAAGAATCTGAGTAATTCTTATTGCAGCATCTATCCACTACGTGTCTATCTGAAGATTTGTCGTTTGCTTAACCACACCAGTTTTCATCATCCCTCCTATCCAAAATCGTCCCAGTTTTCATCTTTGCTGTCAATCAATAGATTGATTGATTATGATTAATTAATGTGCAATTCATGTGCATAATTTTATCATCCTGTTGACAAATCATCACTATGATTGTTTTACAATCAATACTTATTGTCGACTGAACTCAACTGAACTGAACTGAGCTCAGCTGAACTGAACTGAACATAAACGACATGTTGCTAGACGACTGACATGAACTAGAATGAATGTGTCCAAATACTAGTTCATCACTCACTATCCTGTGTCTTTTGAATAACTCAGCAATATATGCCGGTTACCTCCAGTCAACATTGTCAGATAAGCTGAATTCCATTCCATTGCGTTCCATTCCATTCCACTTCATTTGATTTCGTGTTCTCTAAGTCTTTCACAAATGCACTAGGTTGCAATTTGTGTACAATTTAATAGGAAATCAAAGGGAGTGAGTGATTCAGAGAAGAGTCTCCTTTCTCAACGAATTTATCATCAGGCTGTA